GTTACCATTAAAGTGTCAGCAAGATGGAACCAATTATAACGTTGCACAGTCAGCATATGTGGCTACCATTGGATCTGCCTTGGCATCAAACGGTGATTTGGAGGTTGGCGAGAGGGTTTTGTTCGTCACTTTCTCCGAGTCAATAGTGAATGAGAAGGAACCCACAGAGTTATCAGCCGTCTGTATGTATTCCATCAAGAAGATCAACGAACAGTTCAACAGTCGAAGGAAGGATTGTGCACTTGGACAGACAAGTAATGCCAAGATCCCTTGGCTTCCTAACACAGAATGTGCTGATCAAGCAAGCCCTCTCCGGGCTCTTGTAAGTTGATTTTATTCTTAATGTCCACATGTACGTGTACATTAATGTATGTTAAATTTTCCTGCATTCGTATCATTTAAGCTTTCCAATTAGCCATATTTTTCATAATTACACCCGTAGAACTCCTTGAAAACACATTTTTTACTTAAACAGCATCCATATTGGATCTAATTGTTTGTATACACACCTGAAATGAAACATCATAGTATTATAAGGATTATCGGGCTTTTTAGCCTGCAGGGTGCCAGGGGTGTATTTTATACACCTGTATGTACCAGCATTTAATGTGTCACTGAAAGTCAATGATGTCATTACTAAATAAAGTCAGCCCCTTCATAACTACATGTAACCCTAACCCTCCCAAATCCTCCAAAATCCTTTCCTGCAAAGGGGAGGAATTTGGAGGATTCAGGGTGTATGGCAAAAGTGCATGGCTGATTTCGAAGGACGCCATACATATGTGAAGGTTGTGGATTAGACCTTATGTTGTTTGTTCTTAGTCAAGCACAATTTAGCCCAATATTTATTTTGAATCTACTGCACAGCTCAAGAGTGCCATTCGCACTGCCTCGACATGATGACAAGATTTTTGAAGGATGCAGGCAGTTAGGCACACGTCCAAGTGACAGTTTCAAGAAATTTTGGAGGATTTTGGGGGATTAGGGCTGAATGCAATTTTTTTATGTGGAAAATCAGAGGATTTTGGACGATTCAGGATGTTCCTAGTAAAAAGGCCTAGGGGGTCAACTAAACACATGTACAGTAAATCTGTATATAAATAAAATGATAGTATCACGATATGTGCACATGTATGGACACTGTTCTCAGTGGCAGATGACAGTGGCTAGTGATGGAAATGGGTCCATTTTCCTGGGCCTTTCAATATAATTTCAGGTGGATATGATCGATGAAGAAGGTACTGAGTATTGCCATCAACAGGATTTCCTTTACCCGCTTGGTGGCAACACACCCATTGCAGCAGAGGCAATCTACACTGACAGTTCCATTCTGTCTGCCATTGCTGTCACTGCACATCTCGAAGAGACTGTCATCTTCCTTGGAGATCAACTTGGCCATCTGAAAAAGGTGAAATACTTCCCCCCATGCATCCTCAAAATTACATCTTTGTACATGTTCAGTGAAACTGCAAGGTTTAACTTGTTGCAAAAGCTGGGATAGAGAAATAAATTCATATTGATAAAGAACTTGACAATATTCTTAGCAGAAATGTTTACTAAAAGAAAAGAGAAACATGTTGATTTGCTTCGAAGAAAAAATATACCAGAGCTTCAGATACTCGGAGGGGTATTTTGTTTTGTCTTTCATACCATCTGCCGTCCCCTTCCCTACCCCCCTCCCAGTGAAAATGCCATCCCGGGCTATGCTTTCTCTCATTATTTATATGAAGTTCACCCGCTTACTTTGCAGTTGTGGTTCAAGTCACCCACAGAAGCTGTGCTGTACGAGGAGGAGGCCATACTTGATGAATCACGGCCTGTAGTCAGGAATGGCATCAAGTTTAGCCCGGATAAGAACTTCATCTACTTCATGACAGAACGGAAGGTAAGGGCAGTACTTACCTCTGTGCGTAGCACAACAAAGAGCATAGTTCTTAAGACAGGAGTAAGCTAAAAGTGCTTAGCATGATGCTGTGTAAGCACAAAGGTTCCTAAAGTGTAATTCTTAGTTGCTGGAGCACAGTATTTTGGAGAGTGCTTAGCTTTGTGATTAGCAAAAAAATTTTTGGCAGTTTGCACAGTATGTGGTTAGCATAAGGCTATGCTTAGTGCAGTATTTTGGTGCCGGAGCAGAGTGTTGAGAAGATTGCTAAGCACAGTGTTCAGGAGAGCACTTAGCTCAGTGATCACCAACAATAAGGCATTTCTTAAGACAAGAGTCGGTACAGTCCTAAGTACGAGGCTAGGTATACTTGCCTAGTTCCTTGGGTTAGCTCATCGCATGACTCGTCACTTCAGCTATACTTAGAAGAGTACTCATCGTAGAGCTTAGCACAATAAATCACAAATTTCTTAGCAAGTTCCTTGGCACAAAAGTTAACACAATGGGTGGCTAAGTGTAGTGCGTCAGTACTGCTAGTGTTTACCACGGTATTTAGCTCATGCAGAGATTGCACATAGTGTGCAGAAGAAAACGTTCCTGAGAACTCAGTATAATAAATAACACAGTTTGTAGCAAAGAGCTTGAAGTGTAATATCATATCAGACAAGGACAGCCAATGTTTTGTTTCTGAGTATAGGTTCAAAGGAATTTTCATTGTCAATTGTACATTTTAGATGAAGGTAAGAGATGCACTTGTACCTTGTATCTAATTAGTGATTATGTGCTGCATACTTGTGGTCTTGAATTTGAGACTAGTAAATTTAACCAAGACGAGTCAGATACCAAGACCAAGGCTGAGACTAGCAAAAAATGGTCTTGAAACCAGTCTCAAATCCAACATAAAACTCATTCATAAATGGGTCATTCCATAAGGTTGGGGCACAATTTGTGACGGTGTCCTTGTTACATGGGTAACTTTTACCACCTGTCATGACCTGTAGAGTAGGTCATTTACTCTGTAAAAATAACACACACCTCTGTATTCAGCCTTGCTAAGATGTAGAATTGGAAATCCGTATGCAGGGAAATAGCTGTTCATTTTATGGAACGCATGTGACAATGGACACCACCACAAATTGTGCCCCAACCTCATGGAATAACCCAAATACCTCAGACAGTCTCCTATTAAACAACGTCAGTGCAACTTAACCGTAACATTTGATAATGCCCGCTGAGAAGTGACCACGCTCGCTGCGTAAATTACATGCTGGCACCTGAATAGAAGACAGTTTAATCGATTCTGATTGGTTAAGAGTCTGTGTGCATGCGGCTTGCCATGTGCACGCCAATTGGACAATTTGTACAAGAAATATTCCATAAAATTGACATCTCCCAATGACGCAGGATTTTGGCATTATTGTAAATCATGAAGAAAAGGGCACAGACTTCTCATTGGAATGTGCTCATGCACATGTAGCTCCATGTTTATGTACATGTGCGTTTGTAACGGCACCAGTCGTGCTATGGATACCAGTTTCAATGTTTTCTCCAGTATTACATCATACAAATTTCATTTCTCAACAGCGCCGCCAGGGGTCAGATTGTGGGAATTTTCATAAAACTCGAAGACACCGTTCAAGGTTTCAGCAAAATTACAAAAAATACAGATGCAATATAGGCATGATTTGGTAATGAATATGTGATTTATCACATACTAAACACAAAAGTAGTTAATTTTCCAAACTTTTAAAACCGTTGGAGTTGGTCTTTAAGTTGACAAATTGGGCAGATTAACAGGTACTTGATCAAGTATTTGTACCTTGCTGTGCACAAACATGCCCTAAGGACGCTCATGTTCATGGTATCCGTCAGTCTCAGAAGACAATAAAGTTGCACCTGAGTTGGTCAGTCATCAGTGGTTGATTTGAAGCACCTGCTGTGGCTGAACAGGTGAATCCTCAAGAGGCAGACTCTCTTGCATTGCTGTTGATGCTTTTCCTATGCAAGAACTCAGCTCAGAGTCCAAAGACAGGTTGCTGGAGATGATTGAACCAAGGTAGATAGAATCTTCCAATAGTGTTGGGAATGGAGTGACATCTTGCCCCATGATGTCGGTCTTTTTTAGACTGATTGTAATTGTATTTTATTGACTGTGTGTGATACTAGTGCTGCATCATCTCCAACGAGCAGTTTCTGGAGAAGCACTGCCTGCGCTTTGGTCTTTGCTCTCATCAGGTGGGCAAGGCTGATGAGGACCCATCGCTTCTGGTGTGGAGATGGATCCTGTCCTCTGACTGGGTGACACAGTCAAGCTAAGAAGCTTGGGAGGACTAACCGATCTTCCCCAGGAGGGTGAAGAGACCTTTCCTGCTGACTAAACTGAAATCGTGGTGAGGTCGATGAAAGCAATGTGGAATGGCTGTCTTTCTTCTCTACACTTCTCCTGCAGCTGTCTCGGAGAGAAGATCATGTCAATGGTGGATCTCTTGGCCCTGAAGGTGCACTGAGTCTCCGGATAGACTCGCTCCACCAGATGATGCAGTCTGCCCAAGACCAACCGAGCAAAGATCTTGCCCACAGTATTGAAGAGAGATGTGCCCCAGTGCCATTGCTCCTGATGACACCCTTGTTCTTATCTATGATTATACTGGTGTCCGGCATGTCCTGAGGTACAGCACCTTCCTCCCAGCACTGAAGCAGAAGCTCATACAGGTGGTTGTAGAGGGAGCTCTGTTTACTGGCAAGCTTGATGACTTCTGGAGGTCAATTCCTGGGGCTTTACTAGCAGGCTAGCGACTCGGTGGCCTTGCTCAGTTCGCACAGAAGGCAGTTCGTCTAGCTCTTCCATAATGGGAGGCTGAGTGATGTTCCGGATGGCATCTTCCATGACAATGTTCTCCCTTGAGTATGCATGCTGTTTAAAAGGGGTCCATTTGCATGTAACTCCAAGAATCTTGACTGTCACATTTAAACACAGGACATATTTATGTGGCATTGTAAAGATGTCCATTTAAAGGGTCAGTGCGGTGAAGGCTTATAATTTTGTCAAGCAATATGCAGATATGTCCCATTCATGGCCTTACTGTCAATTTTTGTTTGGCCATATTGAAAGGAGTTCGGTACGTTATTTGTGCTTTTCATACTAATGAATTTCTACATGTATTTTCACGAGCATCAAAACTTCAAAATCCCACTGTCTTTTCTGGGCAGGAATTTCCTGCACAGCTGTTTCAAATAAGTTGATACATTGGTCACAATTTATTCACAGAATCTCTATACATGTACCTTCCTCGGAATGATTTCAAGGCAACAGCACCCACATCAGTTGTCTGAAAGAAGCATGGAAATATTTTATTCTTAAAACTTACATGTAGAGACTTGCAGGAAATCCAAGAGAATTTCATCTCGTGGACCTTTTAAAAGTTTGCGTCATTGTCTGCGGATTACAGACACATACATGAATATGTCTCTCCTACCCTTGTTTTAAATTCTGCACAGACTGCATGTACATGTACATGTACATCATGGATTCTCTTTCTGGATGCACCCAGCAAACATGTACCGGGTACCATGTATTCCTGGAATAACGGTTGTCGTGGGCACATGTATTGGAGGTCATGAATTATTGACAGATTTAGTCACCAAATCTGAGCAGGCCTCATTGTTACAGCTGTGCGTGAATACAATGTAGGTACATGTAGCTTTTGTTGGGGAAGCTAGTGGAAAAACGAAAGAGGATATTCATCCCAGGGAATGTTTACTCAAGTGCAGACTGAACCACAAGTACAAACACAAAGGGAAGGAATAAACATGTGATTTGAATAACATCACTAATTTGGACAAATATAAAAATCAAATGACATCAACATGACTTTTCATTTCAGTCGAGCTAACGTTAACAAATTTGACATTCACTTTTATGTACATACTATCTGGAAGTTGAAACTACTGGTACCAGGAATGAAGTTGTGGTTGAAGAGCCTCCTGATTGGCCATTTTCTTTCATTTTCCTTGGCTTGTAATTTTCTTCTGTTACAAATTTTAACCCGTTGTACATGTGGATCTTCATTGTCACGTACGGATATATGGGAGTATGTACATGTATTTTGCTTGAAAAATTATGTCAGATCACAAACAGACGTCCCAGAATTGGTTGACTTTCAAAAATAAAGGCTGACCCAACTGCCTCGTGTCGGAATCTATCTACATTTATTCGTTATATTCTCACAAAGATGAATTCTGTAAGCTGGCCCTCGCAAACAAGCCCCCTTTTTGTCCCACTTGCAATTTTTTTGTTGTTTTTAATCATGCCACTCTGTAACAATGGCAAGGACTCATAATGTAAACATCCTTGTTGGTATTCTCCACCCACATGCCCAACATTAGAATAGGGAACACTGAAATCCATTGAAGGTAGAAAAATTCCATTTATGTGTGGGATATAGATTTGATTTTGTAGATGTGCCAAAATGCTCACAGATTAGTATATATGGTTAATGCACTTCTAGTGTTATTGTTGCATTCTCTACATAAACCACCAGTTTCCTTGGAAGAGGGAAATCAAAATAAGATAAATTCAAAATATGAAAACATTATTTTGGGGGGCTCTGAAATATTGCCAGACTTGGCTACAGTCATCAATGTTGTAAAAGCAGTGTGCTCAAGAGCTATTTCATGGCTGTGTCAGGTGAATTATGCACGTACATGTACAGCAAAGTGCACAGCCTTTTTACATGATCATGTATTCTTGAAAGCTGAAAGTATCATAATTAGCTACGCAGCTGTCACAGTCAAAGCCACACCCTCCAGCCGCAGCTGCATTATCTGGCTGCAGCTTGAAATTATGCATAAGTCTAATGGTTCCAATAGAGTTATACAATATCAAGCCATAGCCAGGTAATTTGGAAATGACCTATACCAGACACACATTACTCATGTCACCGTGTATGCAGCACTTATGATGCTAGCATGTACTAGTATGACATGCTATAAACACTAAGCATTAGAATTTCTCAACTATTTCCTTGTTAGCTGTTTCCAAAAGCAAACATAGATTTTTTTCACGATTTTCCCCCCATTTTTTCTGCTTTTCTAAATCATAATAATAATGATACAGTTTTCATATACACCAAGGTTTCGATATGAATATAAATATAGTTTTGGCAAAGGTGTTTTTGTTGCCTTTTTTCCCCTACAAGTTCAGTTGTACAGTACATTCCATTGACCATGTAGTAGAAAGTTTTTCTTTAAAGGATTTTCCTTTGCAAGCTCGTAAATAGTCCCAACTTGACACTCATATAACATGGTCCTAGAACCATGATGACATCATCATCAAGGGTCACATGATATTTGATGCAAGTTACAGTGTTTGCAGGCCAATATTTCTGACTCTACAAGTCCAGCTTGGTTAAGAATTGGCAACTTCTGGCAAGTCTACCCAGACCAGGGGTTATATGCAGATTAGAGGGCAACGTCATGCTGATACTTTCAAATTAAGTTTTAGGATTTTTTTCTTTTTTATCATTATTTTTCATCTTTAAGTATCTCCTAATCCACACAAGAAATTTACAAAACTTCTTTTATGTAAGACCTTTCAAAATACTTTCAAAGTAGGCCTGCAAGTGAATGTTGATAATAATGACATCTTGATTTATATACGAGAAAAAGGTAGATTGACACATTTTTGTGTACATGCCAGTCTTGAGGTGAAAGCCTGATTTTAGGCTTTTTCATGTCAGACGTTTGGCCAGTTTCCAACCTTGACAGGGTAGGTTAACATGTAGGTTTCTCTCAGGCTGGCCATATTTTCATGCTGTGAACATTGGACAAGAACATACATGGAGCTGGCATCCTTGAATTGTCGTCCCAATGTGCGAAAAACGTACTATCAGTATTTTCAATGGAAAAGAATATTTTCCACAGCCAAGTGCAGGTTTCAGTACACTGGTACCCTGCAGCTTATCCTCAATAGTTTGAAGGGCAGTAAACCAAGCTGTATCCAAATATTTATCGTAGTCGCTCAACCGCACAATATGTACCTGTATGTGAACATGTACATGTACTGTAGACAGATGTATGATGCTTCTCAGTGAGGCTAAGTATACGTAGGGGTCCAGATTCCACTGGTAATTTCCGAGTCGCATGCATGGAGATTGGACTCACCCCAGCCAGTGTAAACATCAGGCTTGGCATGCGAGTACTTCATCAAGTAAAAATGTTAATGTTGCCAATGATGTACATGAACCACACAGTTTTGGGTTTGGAAGGTTTCAGGCAAAACTTAAACACTCTTTTTTACATAAATGCATATTTGCACAAGCCAGATGCTCAGGAAAGATGTTAAAGGACAGTAATTATTTCTACTTCTCTATTTTGGCATTTCGGTCTGCTGTAGATCCATAAGATTCCTGTGGAGGACTGCTCCACTCACACAACCTGTGAGGATTGCCTGGGAATCGGCAACGGTGTCGGTGACCCCTACTGCGGCTGGTGCTCCCTCCAAAAGAGGTGAATTTCCACTCGGTCTTTTTCCCACTCAGACAAGCATAGAAGCCTAAACCAGGACCGGTACTCATGCCCTGAGTGTAACATTTAGCTGCTGTGCAGTGAAGCCTAAAATTGCAAAATACTCGGAATCATGGGGGAAAACGACACAGTCTTGTCGAGCTACAGGTTTTAGTTTATGGCGTATCCGTGGAAGCACATCAAGGATTTGTTAGTATTGAATGATTGTCAAAGTTTTTTTTCCCCCTCCCCTGAAAGGTAGTAGCACTATTCCTAAAGAGTTGGCACTTTTGATTCCTTCAAAATAAAATTATTTTAATTGAGAGAGGAATTAATTTTCAGTTGTAAATCCTTAAACTGGATAAATTGTTTGAGGAAACCTGCATTTATGTCATACATGCAGTAGGGGAAAACTCAGTGTAAAAAATGAAATTAGAAAAGCCAGTACATGTAAAATTTCAACGGAAAACCACAAACCATGCACATGTGTACATGTTTGCCTATCGGATGGGATTGCTGGTGTACACGTACGTGTAACCAGCAATAGTCAAGATAGGCAACCTATTCAAAACAACCTCAGAAGGTAAAAAAATTACATATCACATTCATTTAAAAAATTATGCCAACAAATAAAAAATTTTTTTAAAAGTTCACACCTTACAAAATTTAATACGGAAAGACCCAGCTTCTGATGTGCACGAGTTAAACTGGTTGAAACAGCCTTTCCTGATAACGGTTAAATACTTAACATGTTCATTTTCAATGCACCTGCCTAGCAGTACTACTTCAGAATCATCAGTGTAGTGGTTGGATGCTTGCATTTGACCCCTTTTTACTTGCTGCCATTATGGGCAACATGCCAAGTGTACAGGCTGTGTTTCAAGTCACCTTGTGTATGGTAATAAAATATCGGTTCCTGTCCTGTCTAGCGCTCTACGGTACATAGCAGACAGCTACTCGATACTATGGTACTACCAGATTGGATTACATGTACTCCAGGGGGAAAAAATCAGTGGATGAAAAAATCAAACGAAAGACAGATAAATAAAAATCGTTCCCTTGTATTGGTTTGAGGGAAAATTATGTAGGAGTTCTGACTGGGGAATCAGTTATGAAAGCATGCTGTTTTTGAGTTGTGTTTTCTTTGAGTTTATAGTTTCGATATTTAACATCAGGAAATGCCAGTTATTTTCTGTCACAGAATTTCCCCAAACTTACCTCTGATGTCATATCCCTCGCATCCGAAAAATTCAGAAAAAAGAGGGGGCCAGAGAAAAAGAAAGAAAACTGGAGGGAGTGTTTACTTTTAGGATTCACTTCGGTAGAAAAGATCCTTACAGAGCCTGGCAGATTCTGACCTCATCTTTTTCCTCTCTTTTTAATCTCCGAGACACTCTCATGTTTCTCTCTTTCTCGTTGAATCCTTGTAGCTGCACAAGACGGAGTCAGAGCGAGTGCGTCGGGTCAGAGGACCCTTCCAATCTGCGCTGGCTGGGGAAGCTGGACCAGTGCATTGCCATCTTATCTGTGGACCCGCCCAACACACCCAGCAGCGGAACGCAAGAGGTAATTGAGGATCGCCAGGGTAATATGGCACCACTAGGTGGACTAGACAGGATTTTCCCCTCATTTGTCGTCATTTAGTTGTCAATCTAATCAAAATTGCAAAAGACGTTTGAATCATTAAGAATCATGAGGGAGAAGATAATTTCATTGATTTTAAGTTTGATTCAGTGATATAGTCGGGTTTCAGTGAGGGGGGGGCGCAGAATGGAATTTTTTTTCCGAAAAAGATTCTCAATTTTTTTTCATCTATTAAAGAATCAACTCTCTCCTCCCCCCAAAGAAAATTAGCAGCACCATTTTTAAAGTATTGGTGCTTCCAGTTCCTTTAATCAAACCAGTGTATTGGCCCACTCACAGATAGTGCTGCAGTCAAACTGCCAAACGGAACCATGCAAACCAGAAATCGTCGAACATGCAGGCCTCGATCTCGGGGCAGGCCACTTTGACCTTCATCAAATTTCAACAGGGCACCAGGCCAGCTCGAGTGGGCACCAAGGCCAATTATTTGGAAACCTTTGATTTACATTTTTGACAACCAGTCATGTCGTGAGTAGGCCTGTAAGCTATTCAGTTCTTGTACACTATGCATCCCCCCTTCAATAAAAGGCGTTATCATGCTGCTGTTATTTGTCGCGTTCCCTGTATAAAATTGTAATGTTCATTTTTAATTGATTACAATTACCCAGACGATTTTTTCCTTGCGAATCCAGCCTCTGATTTAATGCTTGCTTAGATTTTGTATCCCTTTCCCATTAGAATTCAAGGATTCCTAACCCCCTTAAATAAGTTTAAAATATAATAAATAGTGTTTATCCCTTTATTTAAATGAAATGGGGATCCTTTTAAAATGATTACTGTTTGCTAAATGGTTATGGAAAACTCTGGGCAAGACGGCATCGTGCAATTCGTAAGTTGGCCTTTTGATGAAAGTACCGATCGTGTGTTGATGCATTTCCATCGATAATTTTTAAGTGGGCCTCCATAAGCCATTGTTTCGTTCAAGTCGGCATGTTCTCTCGGTCCCTTTTCCATAAAACAAAAAAAATCCTCGGTATAAATTGGGCTGTAAATAAACAATCGATATCCGGAGCTCCATTGTTGATGCGTGGAGTTGGCCTACATGTACATTGCGAGTGTGACCACAAAGGGGTTTCCCCAATATTCACATCAATACCAGTACCCCCTCTAGTGCACGCGCATGCGCTCTGTCCCTTTTTGGGGTCGCCCTGTTGAACGAAATTTTACTTGCGGCCGGCCCAAGATCCCGCGTCCATGCACCTGTGCATGACATGCGTGCTAGCATTATGTCAGTACAAACGGCATGCACGGGTCATCCTCAGTATGGAGCGATGATCAAAAAGTGTCTTAAGTGGAATAATCTGTTCATTTTTTTGAGTCTGCCTTTGAATAGTTAAAAGTGTAGAAAGAAGTTGGAGTCAGAAAGCCAAGTATTCCATGAGATATTAGAATCCCACACCCACACATCCTTTGCACTTCCTTGTGTCATTTTGTTGTGACAAACGATTTCCTTGTAGGCCCCTATGATGACCCTTGTTAAAAGTTTCCATCCAAATAGAAAAGTAATGAAAACATGCATTCTTTACGTATTCCATTGAAGTACATTTATAAGCCTCTATGCAGTTACATACATGTGTAGTCCACTTAGGAATTCCACCAAACTTTCACTTAAAATCCAGGCACACTAATTCAAGGAAAATCTCAAATTTCAGTTGAAAAACTTACATCCGGATAAGTGATTTAAGGTTTTCCCAGAATAGTTAGCTGCAGTGGTGCCTGTTTGCTGGCTTTGATATCTGTTTTCCTGCCTCCATGATTTGCCGCAGCTCTCGTGGTTTGTTGCCAGTGTATGAATGTCGCATCAAAGATGTTTGTCTCTTCTTGTTTTATTTCTTTCTGTGTGATAAGTTACAACTATATTGTCAACCATTCAGATCAGTCTTTTATGATAGTTTCACATTTTTTATGTTTTGGAACTTATATTTCAAAGCATTTGATTTCTTCCAAGTATCACTATTTTTCATTTGTTTGTACATGTTAGGTAAAGGGAATCCAAAGTTCGTGAATGTACAGTTTAATAGATTGTAAAATAATAGAAATAGAGTTGTAAAATTCACTTTTGTCTTCAAATTTTGATGCCTAACCACATGTCTGACCAACAAAATTCTCTTGGTGTTTTCTTTAGGCTGATGTGACTTACTATGGCTCACGTCAACAAGTCAACTAAACATCATGAAAATCTCTTTTTCGCTCACGTAGCTAACACTTACCCGATATTTTCGTAAATCTCTCTTTTTTTGTTCGCGTAGCTGACACTAACTACCAGGGGTCTACCCCAGCTGGACCCAGCCAGCAGCTTCATCTACAAGTGCAAGTTTGGGGATCTCGCTATGCAGCCAGCCACGTTGGATTTTGCCAACAATGCCTCCAAGGTCCGCTGCTACACACCCCCCCTTGACCAGCTTCCGGCAGTCCAAGGTAAAAAAAAAAAAAGAGGGGCATGGAGGTATAGTTAAATCTCATTGCCTAAAGCACGTTTTCATTGGTTTTTTGTTGACCACACCCAGTTTTTTAGACTTTTTCAAGATTTTGTATTCTTCAGTCTGGATATTTAAAACCTTTTTGCCAAAAAAATATCAGTGATACAGGGCTTGTCTTGGTGAAATAAATGTCTTTCTGGCCATAGCTGGAAAATAAAAAAATTTCTTTCTTTTTTTCATTGGCACCCATACAATGTATTCATTGGTTTTTATCTGGATCCCCTTTTAATTTCTGTATCAGTTTTCAGATGTTTTACTAAACTCAAGGTTACTCCTTTCAAGAATTAAAAACCCTATCTATTGGTTACTACACTTACATGAGCTTTGAAGCTTTTCATGGTGAAGGTGGCAAGTTCGAGAGGTTTACGGTAGCACCGTGCAAGGATATCACTTTTGGAGTTTGTGTGGTATGTCTCGGTTCTTTTCAGAACCACACATAACTCAAAAGAGATATCCTTGCACGGTGCCGCTACAGGCCTCTCTAATGGTGTTACTTTCTTTTCAAGTGACTGACCGTGTACATCTACAGTTGCAATTTCAGAATGTTATCTTGTATTCCGCTGAATTCTCATTCAAGAAATGTCAGTAGTTGTATGGGAGATTTTGTTTTCTTGTGGAAAAAACTTGGTGCTGTGAAAGTTGATATTGAGTTGATCCTGAAAATAGCCCAAAGGTCAGCATTTTTTGGCTGCCGCTACCTTGGACAGGCTTAAATCATTGTTCCCACCACGTGTGTCGTTGGCATCAAGAATATGATAGTATTCAGTTGATAATCATCTTACCACACTGAACACGTGATGAGGTTTCCACCGTGGCTTTTCATATATCTTGCTTTATGGTTCCCATCAGTGCAGTTTCCTTGCAGCTGTGTCGTGAGACAGTATCAATCAAAGGAAAGATGATCCAATTTTCCTTCCTTCAATGTGTTTGTGATGTTGGGTTTATATCTCTATTCCCACAAATTCTTGGCACGTTTACCGAATGAAAGAAAACCAGATGAAACCTGCAACCCTCAACTAATTATGGTCAGTAACATGATTACTTAATGGGCTTACCAGGTCGTATCATCGCAGTTCAGTCATTTTTTCCCCAGCAAATGTCCAGGATACAAGTTTCCTAGAAACCTTCCCTGGCTTGAAAGTCAGTGATACATGTACATCTGCTCTAGATAATTCAACCGAGGAGGATACAAGCCCCATGTATACATTATGAAACCTGCCAATTTTTCCAAACTTTCCAAACCTTTCAATAGATTTCAAAGGATTTTGAATTCAAAGGTTAACTGACTTTTTTATGAATAATTCATTTTCAGTTGTGTTCCCTGAATCCATTTCATGAATTGTAAACTTTTAAATGCAAGGGGGCCGGACTATTTAGGATTTTTAGCGTGGCTTAAAACGTTAAGGAGCACGTTATCACTTATTCTGAATTAATCATCCATGTAACCAAATGTTAAATTTGTAACAAAATTTTATTTTATTGCTTTCAATTCTCTCATGTTCCCCCAAATGGAGAGCTTGTCTCTGTTTCAGTTCAACTTGACTGTCTTGTAAATAAAAATTATCATGACTGATAAACTGGAGAAGCTAATTGAAATATTCATTCACCCTATAACAGATAAAGTTAAAGTTGGAGATAAGCTTTAGAATTGTTTGTGCTGATTCGAGTTTTTTACTAGCTGCTTGTTAAAGATATGTTTTATCAAGATGGCCGATCGATGTAGGAAAGCTGATGGAAGTGGATAAAGGGAAGGTATTATAGGTCTACATCTTGACAAATGATGTCGTTTCCATGGATACAGGAGAAGAGCTTGAGGAAGTTTAACACTCTTATGGCACTACTTTCGCTTTGCATCTTGGATGCTAATTTTATAGTACATTTTGCCTTTACACTATGGATATACTGGTGAGTGTAAAGGCAAAACCTAGTATTAAATTAATATCCCTAATGTAAAGTTAAATACGGCCGTTTCACAATAGTGCGCCACCAAGAGTTTGCAATGCATTGGCTAATCAGAGTGTGCAAAATTTGACAACCCAATGCGCGTTTGGAAAGGGTCGACAAATTTTGCCCGTTGTGATTGTCCAACGTGTTGCAAACTCTTGGTGGCGCACTATTGTGAATTGCCCGTAATTGAAGTACCTAGTACAGCACTTCATTCAAGCCAAACACCTGATTTCAACAAACTCAGTGGTTAAGATGTCTGTGGGTTTGAATTCCACTGAGGCAAACTCAAACAACTCTCAGACCACAAAGGGCAAGATAGAGCAGCAACTAACATCACCTGAACAATGGATCATTTGGACTGTCTATTCAACCACTCAGAACGAGACCCCAGGGCATGGGGGCACTGCTGGTTATCAATAGCCAACGTCATTTATCATTGTGGAGGGAACCATGACTTCACACGAAAATAATTGTTACCAAATTTCAGTAACCATGTATGCTGTAAGAATGATACGCCAACTAGGATCGTTCAAGTGTACATGTAATATGCACATTGTTGAAAAGCTAGTGATTACTAGTCAACCCATAGTTCACGCCCAAATTTGCCCAAATGAGCAATTATTGGGTGTAAAAATAACACCAATGTTGTGGTACCCAAGAGGAATAGAGGGACAGAGAAATAAGGGTTCTGGTCTTCTCAGTGTGATAGCAGTAATTCTGCACCGATAATGCAGGAGTCACAGTGCATCCCTTTCTAAACGAAGGTGTCCGTAGTGACACGAGATTAACTGCAAGACAATCCAAAATAAATAACATATGTGACCTTTGATCCTTTTTTTCACAGGTTTCCTGCGTGTGGATCTCTCCATCCTTGCCACGGAGACCAGCCTGGACATCGTCAGCACCNAACTTTGACTTCTACGACTGCAGCACTTTCACCAGCTGCACAGCCTGCGTGGGTAACGAGTACAGGTGCGACTGGTGCATCTTTGAGAACCAGTGCATGGGACATTCCTCGTCCTGTGACGCTGACGGTATCATCACCAAACAACAGGTTGGTGCTTGTGTGGTGGCAGCGCAAATTCCTGTTATTAAAAGCAACAAAAATAATGTCTGAAATTTCAGAGAACACTGCAGAAACGTTTACGAAGGCTGAATCAGAGTTCATGCACAGTTTTCAAAGAAGAAAAGGTGTGAGGCCAACAGCAAATGTCACAATGAACACTAATCGCTTTCAACAGCCCTTCCATAATCATGGAAGGGCTGGGCATGCTACCGTTCTGTATCCGTGGAAACCAAGCAGATCATATGGATGGGTCAACATTAAGGATGACAAGAGAATGCAATGCTGTTGTGACAATCATGACTGTGAGAGTCATATCACACAGGGCAATGTCTACACAACTAGTTCAAGACAATGTCCATGAAGAAAGCAAAGTACGCACATTTGTGGAGAGGTTTCCATTAACGATTGGGAAGATATAGTTTACGTTCTCTACTTGTGGGTATTTCTAGACTGTCAGGGATTCAGATGCTTCCAGTTTGCCAGTGAAATTTGCCCGGTGATTTGGCACAAAGGAATTCCTGTAACTGTCTGGTTTCTCTTGATGTCAGCAGGGTGTGCCTAATGGGGAGATGGCCTGCCCTCGTATTGTGAATGACGGCAATGAGATTCTCATTCCAGTGGGAGTCAGCACCAGCTTCGGTGTCGCTGCTGCAAACCTGCCATTACCCAAGGTATTACTGTCTCATACTTACGCTTACTGATGAAATTAAAACTGCTTATTTATATTATTGATTGGTGCTGATAGGCAGCCTTACACAAAGACATAAGCCATGTCTGAATTAGCAGTACATGTACTTGGCAGTGGCTGGAAGTCACATGTGCATCTATGGAAGCTGCTAGCTAGTGGCTGCGTCATTTCCCCT